TCTTCAGCCTTGTTTTCGGCCTCCAGCCCGGGCCAGAGAGGCAGGGAGAGGCAGGGAGAGGCGTTTGGATGCGCTGGGGGGCATGAGCCCCATGCCGCGTGGCCCCCCCCCAGTGGGGGGGCGCCGGCCAGGCCATTCCAGGCGCGCGGCTGCGCTGGGGGGCGGGAGCCCCCCGGCCGCGTGGCGCCTCAGCCTGGTTTTTAAGACGTCAAGACTTGAACCTGTCAGCCATGTGGAATCCAGCTCTCTTAATCAGTAGGCTACAGGGCCAGCAGAGGTGGTTTCTTTTTTCCTTCTAAGATTTTTGCTATAGGGGACATATGCTCACGGGAGAGACAGAGAGACAGAAAGCAAGAAGTCATTCCCCAGAGGGGATGGCCACGCTGCAACCCCTTCTCCATTCTCCTCTCAGGATCTTGGGCACGCACACACACACACACACACACACACACATGCCTGGCGTGAGTTTTAAGCCACTGGGTCCAGGACTCAAATCAGAGTCAACTATGGGGGAGTTCAGTGACGTGACTATTACGCCGTCTGCTGACCCCTGGCAGAGACGGTTTCTTATTCTGAGAGCTGAGCTGGGAAGACCTCCTGGTGAGGAGCAGAAGGGCACCAAGTAGAAGTACAGAGGGACGGGGGCAGGACCTGGGTACTTGCTGGGAATTTAAAGAAACCTTCCTAGGTGGTCAGCCAGACTAGGGGCAGCAACTCCACAGGGTGGGAGCTTCATGGTTACTCTGCAGCCCTGGACCCTGCACCTACAGGGCAGGTGCTGGAGGTTCTGGGTCTCACTCCAGGTTGGTGGTGGGGTGGCCCCAGTCTTCCAGCAGCCACCCCAACCTCAGTTTCCCAGTGGCTCTACCCGAGTTGCCTTTTGCAGAAGCCAAAACTGAAGCTCTAGGGAGGTGGGCTTGGCTGCTGAGGCCTATGACAGGCGGTGTGGCCCAGCAGTGTGGCCCAAGTCCCTGCAGGACTCCACAATGGCCCCGAGTGGGGCTAGGGATGGCTAGCACACTGAGGAGGAACTTAGCATGGGCCTGGCACTTTTCTAAGGCTCGCATTACAATCAGTAATTCTGCCACAGCCAAAGGAAGTAGTGTCCAGCGCACCCATTTTACAGGTGAGGAAACTGAATCGAGTTATTTCTAGTCACAGAGCCAGAAAGCGGCTGAGCCAGGATTCAAATACACATCTCACAACCGGGAAGCCAGGAAGCCCACATGGACCTATGGACACTCCCCCACATACACACACACACACACCCCTGGAGGAGGCGGTGCGCGGGGCTGGGCGGGGTCATCAGGTCCCAACCGGAGGAAGTGTCTGGCCCCCGTTTGCAGGGGTTCCCAGGGCTGCCGCCGCGAGTCCTTCGTTGGGTCAGGTCATGGAGGCGGAGCCGCCGCTCTACCCAGTGGCCGGGGCCGTAGGGGCGCAGGGAGACCAGGACCAGCTCGGGGTCCCCGATGGGCCCGAGGCTCCGGTGGCGCCGGTGAGCCGGTGGGAGCGCGAGGGAGAGCGACGCCCGGGGTCTCCCCGGACGCGGGCTGGGTCGCGGGGGTCCGGGCGGCGGGCACGCGGGCTGGCGGGGGGCCACTGAGTTTCGAGCCCAGTGCGAGCGACGTGCGTGGCCGGCAGCTGGACGAGCTGGTGGGTGCGTACCCCAACTACAACGAGGAGGAGGAGGAGCGCCGCTACTACCGCCGCAAGCGCCTCGGCGTGCTCAAGAACGTGCTGGCGGCCAGCGCGGGCGGCACGCTCACCTACGGCGTCTACCTGGGTACGCGTCCACCTGGTCCCAGCTTCTCTCGCTCTGACCGGGGGCTGGGGTCTAGCCAGCGATGCTTGAACTCCAGGCGGCCCTCGCCACCCGCCCCAGCCCGGGTCAGGGAAACAGAAACCTTCGAGTTGGCGGTGCCCTCTTCCCCCTTTCACTTCCCGGTCTTCAGAGCTCGCTGTTGCAGCTGCGCCCGCTCTGCAGGGGTGAGGGCGGGGGTGAGACCGCAGTGTCCACAGGTCCCGGCCAGAGCCTTCGTGTGGGTGTGCGGGGACTGGGCAGCCCGGGCAGCACTGCAGCTTTCAGGATTAGGCGGCCCGCCGAGCAGTGCTGATTGGAGGTCTGGGTTGAAACCCTCGAAGCTGCCACCGACCGGCAGGATGCTTGGCCCAGCCCAGGATCTCCCTCCTGCCCTGGGCGATGGAATCGAGATCCCTTTAGTGACTGGAGCTCCCGGCGAGGCTTGCATTCCCGCCTCTGCTGGGCTGCGCTCTCCATACCGGCTCCCTGTGCCCAGGCCTCCTGCAGATGCAGCTGATCCTGCACTACGACGAGACCTACCGCGAGGTGAAGTACGGCAACATGGGGCTGCCCGACATCGACAGTAAGATGCTGATGGGCATCAACGTGACGCCCATTGCGGCCCTGCTCTACACGCCCGTGCTTATCAGGTGCGCGCCCCTGGGCCAGGCCGGGCTGGGCTGCCACCCTGATGGAAGGGAGCAGAGGCCGTTGGTCCCGAAGGCTCCAGCTGCTTTGGTGTTTGTAGGGGAGAGAGATCTGGGGAGAAGCTTTGTGTGCCTGGGCGGGTGAGAGTGAAGGGAGTGAAACCGGGGTTTGGGGAAGGAATCAAGGGCCTTCCCCCACACACACACTTTGGTTTCGGGTAACAGATGCACTCAGGCTCTTTCCC